AAAGATCACTTCCTCTGCTTTTTCCCTAAGAATGCAGTGTGGCTCAGTAGATACAGAGATCAGAGGCTGAGAACAGTGAGTTTTGTTTAAGGAGCCTTGAAATTCCTTTTGCTCTCTGCTCCTCTGTGATGCATTTCCTTGAAGTGCTAAATTAAGAACCAGACAAGAGGGAATGAGATGCAAAAGATTATTACGGGGAATTCGTTCATCAGAGGAACATTTTTTTATTGAAAAGGGTGAACGCTTTAACCCATGAGATAAATATGTGGCACGCTTAGTTTGTCATGCTTAAGTTGGGAAAGTAACATAACTAAAACGAAACAAATACCGTGACTTAAAACAGTTGAAGGACTTTTGAATCTTTGATCACATTAGCAGTTGTTTATAGATTACGGTCAATATATGCCCTTGCCAAAAGAGATCAATTTGATGTGGGATACCCCAGTGATCATTTAGCTACACTTCACTTGTGTAAATGTGAATTATGTTTTTACTGATTTTCCTTCATGATGATGTTTTACAGGGGGTTCAGCTGCTAACACACTGGAGGAGATTATGGAGCAGGAGGAGACAACTCTTTCTGTAATGTCTGCAACTGCTAGTGATACCCAGGGAGAGGACAGCAGCCTCAACATGTCAGCTGATGTTTCATTGCATTCCCCGTCCCCAGACACCGAGATACTGAGCACAATGTCAGTGGAGGGCAGTGGGGAAGATCAGTCTCGTGATCTGTCCTCAGATGGCAAGTACGAACTCTAGTAAGACTCCTCAAGGCTGAGCCGTGTTTTTCAGCAGCATTAGCAATACTTTTAATTCTTTATGTTTGCACGATTTTTTTTCACAGTCAACTGCAGAGCACAGGGAATGATTCTGCAACTCTCAGTGATGTGAGGACAGTTGCTGGCACAGACTCATCTGAACAGGCAGATACAAGTGGGTTTGCTCTTGGATTGAGGTGTTATTTACATTCTCTTTCTGCAGACATGTTGCAAAGATGCCTACGAGTATGTGTCATAAACTTCACCTTAATATGCTAGGTCAATGTCTTTTTGCTTCTCAGAGAATGTCTAACATGAAAAATGTTTTTCTTTCATGTATAGATGGTGGTCCGTGTCAAGTTGAAAATGTAAGCCAACAGCCAATCTGTGAAGTTGAAGATTGCAGCACTGCACCCAGCAGCCTCCCTCAGCCGGTAACGCAGGGTGCAGAAGCACAGGCCTCTGTTCAGGCAAACACTGAAACCCTCTGGGAGCAGACTGACAGGTTGGTGAGCCCAGTGGCCATCAGCACATCACGCCCCATTGGAGAGGATGCTCAAGTGCAAACAGATTTCACACTGCTTCCTGTGCCTCCTCAACAACAACAACACCTGGGCAAGGTTCCCTCCGCAGCTAATGTGCCTGCTTCTGAGTCAGGGGAGAAGAAGGATACGGCCACTTTGACGGACGTGCTGGACCCACCTGACCTCGAAAAAGATGCCTTATCCCACACCTCAGAGACCTCAACACCAAGTGCCCCTGCCACAACTAAGACTATTTATGCCACAGACTCTGAGCCAAAGCCCAAGCCTTCCAACGAGCTGACAAGGGACTACATCCCCAAGGTGGGGATGACAACGTATACTATTGTGCCTCAGAAATCTCTGGAGAAACTGAGATATTTTGAAGTCGCTTTGACACTGGAGGCGCCTCCTGCAGCTCCAGAAGAGGGACTTGACATCGGTTCTCTTCAGTTAGAGGAGAGCACAGCAGCGAGGGGACAGACGGAAGTTTCAGAGGAAAAAAGAGAGCTGCACTCTTCTGTACCCAGGGAAGACTTACTGACTAGCACTGCTACTACCCAAGACACTGTTAACGGAAGTATACCTGAATCTCCTCATTCCTCATCACCGACAAGTTTACTTAAAGCAGATGACATGATCTCACCCTCTGCTAATGGGGCATCTCAAGCAAGTTCTCCAGCAGAGGTCAAGGAGACGAAAATTCCACCCGCAACTAAACCTAAGCCTGGTTCTTTCCGCTTGGCACAGCACAAAAAATCACCTGGGTATTACGTAACTTCAGCAGCAGAGAAAAGTCTTAGTGCCAGTCCTGGCTCTGGCCAGAGGGAGGCTCAGGGAAGTGCAGAGAGAGCAATGTTACCACCCCCGCCTCCTCCACCTCCTGTGCAGTGTCAGGATGAGACAACAGGGGCCGCTAACGTCCAGCTGAGCCCTAAAGGGGTTGACAAGGATGTAGCCATTATGCGAATGACCAGGCAAAGCAGTTTGCCGTGTAAAGAGCAAAGTGTGGGGTTAAGCTTGGAAAAATTAAGAAGCTTTGCAGCCCCTAGGCCCTATTCTCCCGCAACCCCGTCCCGCTTTGCCCAGGCAGTGTCCTCTGCTGTGAAAAGGAGCCAGTCCTTATCCCATGGTCCAAAGTCACCCAGCTCGCCCGTTTCACCGACGTTTTCTCCCATTACAAGACGCCCACCAATCACAGAGTCAAAAGGATCGTCTAAGCTCAAGGTGAGTTCTGATAGCAGGCTCACATTTAAATATCCAGATGAAGATGAAAGCAGCAAATGTCTATTTTCTACTCACAAAACCTCTGTTGCTGGTCATAGCTTTTTTAATACTTTAACTCACACACTGATATATTAATGCTTGAGTAGAAGAGCACTCTGCACTGCTGATTAAAGCACTTTTTTGGTTAAAAGAGTTACACAGGACAAGAGTGTGACTTATCTCACCACCACTTCAGTTTGTTTTAACCTGAAACCACTTTTGCAGCTGCTCTGCTGCTTCTTTTTGGTGCTGTCTCAGCCATTTACACTGTGACCACTGGTGAGTTATTGACTGTCATGAACATTATATAAATAGCAAAATACTTTGTAATAGTTCCTGTGACCCACTGACTTGAATCATCCCAGGGTTAAATATAAACTCCCGTCTGTGTCCCCCAGCCGTTTGAAGGTAATAGCATTGGGCTTTCAATTTTTATTTGAATTTTTATCCTCTTTAGTTTATTTGAAGTTAAGGATCAAGAAGGTTATGGTGCATCAATTTGTTTAATAATAATAAAAAAGAATAATAAAAGAGAAACAGAGGGTTGGCATTTGAAACAAAGAGGAGATGAGGAGCACAGTCCACTGGCAATGAATAACTGAACAACAATTCAACCACCATTTTTCATTATTTCTATTTGCTATCTGAGCTTTAGGGATGGCCAGAAGAATTTGAAGTTGCGACCGTAGACTACATTATATTGCGACCGTAGACTACATTATATATTACATTATATTATCCACAATTCTATATACAAAACAATATAGAATTAGATTTTCTAGTATGACTTCTTAAATGATGGGAAACATGATGCTGCCTATCACACCTACTTTTCACTGTACATTTTTAGGATACACAAAGAAAACTATTAAATATTTGGTTAGGCTTCCATGGTTTTGTGGGTTAAGATGAAGGATTTATCAGTTACCCTGATTAGATATTATTAATTAATTGATATTTGACATTGTTGATGTTCAAAGTAGATTCTGTATCCAGAGTACCTGGACTGAGTGTTGAGCTACAGTCCTTCATTGTTTGCTTAGAACTCTCTGTGCATTGGTATTTGACATGTGTTCTCTAAAGACATGAATACCAAATAGTGCATGCCTTGCAGATCAACAATCTACAACCAATCTAAAAAATATCTTGGATATAAAGTTATCACTGTGAAAAAACACAACATTCTCAAGTGCAAAGCTGACATTATGGGTTGTCCAAGAATTTTTCATAATGTGTGCAGGTCAGGAAATAGTTCACATAGTCCAAACAAATGGGGAGAAATGCTGAGCCATGATATAATGCAAAGTCCCTTTAGCTGTATGTTTGGGTCACATCTTGACCTGTAGACATTCTGCATCTATCTTTGTTGGGCCCGATACAGTTTTTTATTGGCTCTTGAAATAGGTGTAAAAAAGAAAAAGAGAGTGCAGCCATGTTTTCTTTTTGTGTCTTTGTTTTCTGGCACGGTAAGCCTTCAGTGACTACATTCATTGTGTCTCTTTTTTTTAACATCACAGGATGGTGAAAACAGAGAGGTGGAGAGTGACAAAGGCTCCATTCTGCAGGGAGTTGAGGGTGAACCACCAACTTTTAGTGCTCAAATGGAAGGAGAGAGCAGTCCATAGCAGTGTCTTCATTCTTCTGACAATCTATCATCTACTGTAAGCAAAATCCCATGCATTTCTGTATGATATTATATAAATGTCTGCCCAACATGCGTGAAATATTGTGTTTTCTTTTTCTTCCAGGAGGAGCTTATCCTGTATACTTTGAGTTCTCCAGAACCCTTCATCCCACGGCACAGAAGCAGCAACTGTCTTATGTTTTACCTCTTTTGGTAGTCTCCAACAGTGTACATAAAATTATGTATTTTGATAATTAATAATTGCTGTATTTTGGTTTATGTCTCACATGTCATTAAGTAATATTCCTGACTGACCTGCATATTTGAATGCTTCGCTTTTATTTTGGTGTGACGATTATCTTGCATTTAATGCATTACTGTTGTGAGTGAACAAGAACATTAAATGATAACAATTCTATAAATTATTCCACTGATTTCCAGAGTTGTAATATTATTGGGTTTATTCAGAAAATGTATCTAAATAATACTGGATGTTTAGGACAGGGCAGGTCTGACCTATGGTACTTAAATGCTCCTTAGATTATGCATCAAATCTATATTTAAGTATTACAGAGTTTTGATTAAGCTTTATGCAGAAATACACTGATGTGTACAGCACACCTGTTGTTCAAACTGAGTTGTTATGAATAAAGCGTTTATCATTTCTGTTGTCTTTATTATTGTCATTGCCCTCAGTCGGTGCACAAACCACCCCACACACACACACACACACACACACACACACACACACACACACACACACACACACTCACACACTCCATAAACAGCTGAAATCGGACCCCGCTGAATACCTGTTGTTCTCAACAGGTAAAACGTGATCACAGTTTGTGACGCAATTAAAGCATGTTACAGTAGCGCACCTGTGCTGCACGTGCGAACAGCGAGTCTCTTTACTCTCTGGAGCAGCGATATGAAGAGTTTGAACTGGAAACTCCACTTAAAGAGGCATAAGGTAAGAACAGCTGTACAAATAGGCCATGTCGGGTCTATCATTTCAAACGGGTATTATCGAGTAGGTGGTAATGGTCCGGCTGGTGTAGAAGGGAGCAGGAAGGCGTGTGCTACCGTGAAATCTCTGGGGTTTTTTTGTTATTGAACGTTTACCTTCGTGTTTTACGTATTGAGTTGAAAGTCATATTAATTGAAAGAAGATGAAAGTATGTCGCCGACTTCGAAGAGTTCTTGCTAACGTCAGAGCCGGAAGGTCGTTAATGTCTAAAGTAGCGTAGTTAGACACCGGGATAGTGACTAAGCTTCCCCTGACTTTGATATGTATGGTAGTTGAAAAGTTAACGTCTTAAAAAACACAAATGAAGTCTAACTTTCCCCCACACATTTCTAAATAAGGGTTACTGATAGGCAAACCTCCCCAAAACGTAGAGGCTAACACCAAACATTTATCTTTCAAAATTAAAGCCTATATAATACGACCATAGTTTAACTGTACTTCATAATTTCTAGTACCATGAAATCTTTATGCTAGAAAAATATAACAGCGTCATGCCCGTCGATGCCGTTGGTGTTTATTAGTAAAACTCGTCGACGTTTTATGTGGTTCAACGTTAAATTTCATTCAAATTAATAAAATATATTACACGTTAAATATTATAACATATCACTTCTTAGAATTATGTTTTATGACTGGATCACTACATCCCTACTTTTTTTTTATTACTTGCAGTACATTTAGTTATATTAGTTCCTCATTACTCACAGTTGAACATGGATGAAAAGTGGCACTGACTGAACATCCCATAAAATCCAAAGTACCTTTTCTTTTCAAGAGGGTATTCTGTGCTCCTTCAGCACCTCAGTGAGAAGAGGATAGTGGCATTAGGCAGTCATTGACTGTCACTGACAAGAGAAATGTTTGCTTTTCAATATGAGATGTAATGTCACTAACAAGCCTGCATCAAAACTAAGGAGCTCTCAAAACTCTCTTCTGCCAGGAGCAAAGACACATTGATACTGTTTCACAATAGATTTTCAACATTTCAAAAATAGGACAGCTCGTTGGAAAACAGTATAACTTTGTCCTTGCCTCTCCAGTTTTGTTTTTGTTTTTTATAACATGAAATGAAGCATTGAATTCAAGTGAGAAATGGCAGCTAGTAGCAGCAATGAGGCTTACCCAGAATACACAAATAACTATTCTTCCAAGTGGTGACAAATGGCATGATCCCTAGTGTCTCAAATTTTAAATAGGCTAACATAGATTTTGTAAAGACGCTTCTGCTGCACAAGTGTTAACCAACCGCCCTCTCCCTGTAGTTTCCAACAGCTGCTATGCCTCACTCTGTGCATTCCACATAAGCCGACCCACGCAGTACACAAATGTAGTAACCTTTCCATTTCAGTAGATGGCTAGAGTGCATCAAGCTGAGCTGGACAGCTTTACCTTGACTTTAACACCTGATGTTCTGTTTTGACAGGTACTCAGATCAGTTGGTGGAACAACAGAGGATTTTTAACCCACTTAGCTGAAGTCAAAGCAAGTGCTAAAATGGTTCGTCAGTTAATGAATTTGTCAATCAAAGACCAAAAACTTAAAGAATAAGAATCAAATAATTTTTTAATCAAAAAATCCCAAACACTGGAACACCAGTAGCTTCTAAACTGTAAGCATTTGATTCTTTTCTTCGTCTTGTATGACAGCAAACTGAATGTCTTTGGATTTGGGCTGTTGGTTGGACAAAACAAAACAGTGAACATAATCATTAGTTGCTGCCTTACAATCAACAGTACAACAGCAAACATCAAAAGCAGTTACAGCAAAGTAACTCAACAGTAGACTGCACAGAATAAGAGGTCAAGCCATCACCTGACATGCTGTGAGTACTTTGTTGTGATGAGGAGCTGTCCAGGGTGGTTCTACCTGCAGTTGAGATACTTCTGTTCTAGTTAAGCGGTCCAGAAAGACCAGAATAGTCTGAGAATACTGCAAGATGCCCCTGTCAGCCATGCAACCTTTCTCAAAAGTCAGGCTCATCAAGTCATGGGGAGGGGACGCGCACATTCTTGGTTGACCCCTGCAATGACCAAGTCCTTCATTGTGGGTTTAGAAAATCCTCAGAAAGATAGAGAAGTTGGTAACAGGATATTGTAGACTTTGATGGACAGGTAGGATTAGCGTCATACATTGACAGGGAGCCTTGATAGAGCAGGTGAATCCATTGTGAATCCATAGTCTGTAGCAAAGTCCTTGTGCTGCTCTCTGAGTTGAAGTTGAGCGTTGTGTTTTCTCCTCAAAGCTGGTAGAACATTGGTAAAAGAGGTCCAACAGTATGTGATGTTTTTAGTATTACTTATTTCTTTAAAACGCTGAAAATGCTGGTCCTAATAGTGATGGTGCTCTTCAATGTCCTTGTGTTGGGGGACAGTTATGCAACACGGGGCATAACGTAGCCTATCACAGAACAGAAGTTGTTTCTCTCTGTCAGATTTAACTTCTTAGCTGACACAGAAGTCTTACCTGTTGTTATAGCATTGACAGGGACATGCCCAATAGCCTTAGGTTGTTGGCCACCATTGCCAACTGGATAGCAAAGTGAAAGAAGGTCCCATTTCCCCCTTGTCCATGCGCTGCCGAGTGGTGGCCTGCAGGTTGGCCGTAGCAAAAATGAAGAGGTGACCCCTACACTGGAGTAGAGCGATTAAGCATGGATGAGGTGCCACCTCTGTTTGCTCCACTGTTTAAATCTGAACTGTATTGCAGAGCAGCAGTGCAAGTGCTTTCTTTACCACTAATAGGCCAGCAAATTAAGTGAAAGCACTCATGGTGCTGTGGCACTGACAGTGGAGCTGGTAAGGGACAATGGCAACAACCAGTGCCTTATTAGACCAATTAATCCGTGTCCATGGTGTCATTTTTGGTGCTTAAGCAATGGGAGCGAAACTACTCCAGTCATTTAATGCAGCAGACTTCCAATATGGTGGAATTCCTGATGAAATAATGACAAAAAGATATTTAAAAAGCCTTTGAAATAATTTAATGAATTATACTAAAACTTCATCTGCCCATCAGTTAAAGATAAAATTATGTAAATTAATAATTAATTAGCACATTTATGACCATTGTGTTGCTTCTGTACTGAAAGTAAAGTGATCTAAATTAATGCAGTCTGTAAAACCAAAATGCATCGCAGTACAAAATAATGAAAGTAAAACTGTATCTCAGAGTAATGTGAGACACTGTTATTAACTCCCTAAAATAGATTTGGCATTCATCCTACACCAATGTAATTAGCATTTGCATTGACTGATACCAAAAGAATGTGTTCCAGGCTATGAGTTATTTCTGGCCCTCATGCTGCCTGGGGTTTCTTGTCCTTGTATCAATCCAGTGTAGGACCTCGGCTAAACCGTTTGTCTACCTCCCATCTCCTACTGCTCTCTCCTCACCAAAATCACCCTCAAGACATTGATATTAACTCTGCTTGTGTAATCTATAGCAGCACTGGCACATTTAACCTTGGATTTCTCTGGTGACCAGTTCTTTCTCCTGGATTCACGTTAGGCTTTTTAAGTGAGTATAATAGAGCTTAGGTAAAAAGTTATCCAGCTTTGTGGAGCTCTGTTATTGTGACAGATGCTTTGGTAGGTACATGTCAAGGAGTGTGGATTAATGGAGATAGAAAGACACAGGTCATACAGACCAGCCCGATTTCCATCTCAAAGCAAGAGATTTCCCAGTTTCAAACTTTTCTTGCACAGGTTCCTTATTCTGTATTTCTTCCTTTTGAAAGTAAAAGTAACTTGGTTTTGACCACTGCCCCAGCTTGTCATATTTACCAAAGTAATCAAATTCTCCTTGTCTTCTGTTTCTTCTGTTAATGTAGTGAGATATTGCTTTAACCCTATGCTGCCTGTTACTCTGTATCTCAAATAGCCTGTCAGACTCTGTTACACATTACCTTTCAGAAAGATGTTATCATCCCAACCATCCCCCACATGGAGCCTGTCACTGAATGACACAGCCCACAACACAACCAATCTGTTGGGCTGGCTACTCTGTATAACCACATGCCTTCTACAGTCTACTAAGTTTAAAGTGCAATTTGGATCCCTGTGCGAAGTCCATGACAAAAGAACAGTTGGTTTTATAGTACTGGCGGCCCTCCCGGACTCATTATTGAGCTAAAGACATCCCCTTTTGTGTAAGTGTGCTTTGTGTGTACAATTCCTGGTTTCCAGGTTGCAAAGAGAACTATATCAAAAACAAAGGGAAGGAAATGAAAGCAGCAATATTAAGACAACCCTTGACAAGGTTGAACAAATTAGTAGATTATTAATATGCTACTGTGTCAGAGCAAGGATAACTGTTTTGGGAGTCATTGCGTTAAAAATATCTTTATTGTGGTGGATCATGTTTGGGTAGGAGGGATCGTTTTGCCCCACTGGGCCACCCTCGTGGGCAGCAGATGAGCCAGAGAGACTTGTGTGTGTGTGTGTGTGTCTGCGTGTGTGTGTGTTGCTCTGCTGAGCTGTGAGCAGAGGAGCCCCGCCAGCCTGCTTGCTCTAACTGTGCTCTGCACACACTCCAGTCCAACAGCTTGTCTCTTCTCTCTGCTCCAGATGATGCCTTGGATTTAGCTGGCCCACATGAGTGATATGAATAACACACTGGAGGAAATACACACTTCTGGAAGCCTCGGAGATAAAGTAGAGATTTTTCAGAGTGGCAAGGGTAATGTGAGTGGCTTTCCCAGCCCAGCCCTCATCCCTTTGCGAGCTCCTTTACTAACACCAAATGCCCAGAAGAGCAGGACTACGCTCTGCAAGGGAAACAGGTATGACTCATTTTTCTTTAAACTTGCCATGAACGACGCCAGTCTGTTTATAGGATTAAAAATTTCAGTTACACTAAAACTCAAAGTAGCATTTTCTACTCTACACTTTACAATGTCAGCTACCCTGCAGAAGAATAGTACACTCTTTGTATTTGCAGGAGCGAGACACAGAGGTCTATTTGAAAGCTGTAGTGTAGACTTTGTACCTGTAAACACAATTGGCTCGGTCCGCATGCAGCTGTCAATGAAATGTAATGTATTATTTCAACGGTGCGGTTAAAGACCTGGAATCAAATCAAGCACCTGTTAGTTTGTGGGAGATAATTAGTAACCCAGTAACTGTTGTTTTTACAGAGCAGTAAAGAAAGTGTCAGTCAGAGAACAGCACCTCTCAGAGACTAAGGCCCTCTCATGTGCAAGTGTGCTGAAATGTCAGTCTTTCTTACCATATCATGATGGTAATGGGATGTTGTGTTATGAATTATCTGTTTATGTAATTTTTGTCTGACTGATTTAAGCATGAGAAGATTACAGTGACATGCTAAATGTGTTTTAAGAAATAAAGAACAAAACATGGACCATTTCTACTGCTTAGTGCCAAACGCACAGATTGCAATGATGAATCCCTAAGTGGTTGTAAGAGGTGAAAGAGTATCATAATATTTTGTGACTATGATAAAATAATTCCTTTACATATTGATTATTAGATTTTTTTGATTGTAGTATGGCTTACTTTCCTCCAGCCAGCAGTTCAAGTGCTGTCTGTGTCTGTTAGCAACTGCTGTATCTTATAGTGGTGAAGTCAGGGGCGGCTAACACGCGCATTATCTGCAATCTTATCAAAAAGCTGTTGGCGATTGGGGCGTGTCATCTGGTAGTACAAGGGGTCCAAGCAGAGACAGCCTTGTGTTTCTGTCAGATCTGTCAGTTTGTTTATCACTCGCTCCATTTATACTCCTCATTCCTGTGCATAGGACAGAAGCAGAACCAGCAATATGTTGTAACAGCTCTCTAATGTACAAGTTGTGAAATCGGTCTAATACATAGTTGCAATGTCACAGTGTATAATGACTCTTGGGGGCCAGTTCAGCCTGACATGCTTAGTAATTTTGAAAACTATGCAAACTCATATAGAATTTAAAATCAAATCTGAACAATGCTTGGCTCATTGTATGAAACATCTGTTTAGTTCTCTCACTGTGTCTAATTTTTTCTTGTTCTTCAGGAGCAATAAAGAGGGAGAGGATTCATTCTCCTCTCCTGTTCCAAACCCTTTCCCTGAGCTTATCCCCTCAACCCTCTCCCCCTTTGTCTCTGAATGTTTATTACCATGGACCAAAAGTAGTGCAACTCAGGTGAGTGTTCCATTTACAGTACTTGAGGGCATTTGTGACACAAAGAGGCATATTATTTGAAAAAAAGAGGCCTAACTGTTGTAAGCTTTTCCATATGCTACCCCAGGCAGCAAAGTCATGCAAACTCTAATTGAAACAAGTGCCAGAAAAACAACAGCAGGACATACAGCATTTAAATTTAATTAAATGCATAGTTACTTGATGTTTGGCTTGGGATTTGTCTGAAATGTCAGGGCATATGGATAGTTGAACCAGTTATGTGAGTATGGAAATGAGTTGCAGTGAGGAGATGATAAAAATGTTGTGCCAGCACATACACACAATCTGCGCACACACGTTATTACTTTTGAGAGTCCAGATTTTTAATGTGCACACTGTACAGTGACCACTAAACCACATAAAATTAGGCAATACATATGAAGTGCGATACCACCTGTAGATATTGAATTTGAAATTTGATCACAACTTCACGGTTTACCGAGGAAATACCTGGCCTAGTGCCCAACAGCCACTCTTGTACGTTTGTTTTAGCACAGGGTGTGTGATTCGTCATGCACTGAATGTCGAGAAGTACCTACTGGTGCTGGAAAAGCTTTCACTCCAATCTCAATGTTAAGCCAATTTTGGCAATGTCATTTACGTGGATTTTAATAAAAATAAAAAATAAAAAAAAAAAAAAAACAAATTGCTCAACAATTGACTGTTCTCTAAGCCCCGCCCCTCCTTCTTACTGTCGCTATGCCTGACAAGCTTTCAAATCTAGCATAGCACATATGCATTTGACAATAATGTTAAGAGTTTTACTACCTGAAGTTTATAGTAACTTTGGGAACAGTGGCTTTTTTATTTCACACAGAAGTTGAAAGGCTACTCATTGCTGGCCAACAACTGTTGATTTTGTCAGCTTAAATCACAAGTGTCACTGGCAGACTTTTTCAGTTGTTACTCCACAAGTTGGCTGAAAAACACAGTGTGACTGCAGCTGAATATTTACGAAACTTCACTTCAAATTCTTTAGAGACTGAGTACCACTCTTAGTACAGCCACACCCACACTGTTTCAAGATGTGAAGAAATCCAAAGCTTGTGCTTAGTTACTGTTGCTAAGGTATGATTGGACAATAGCTGTTTGGGGGCAGGGTGGCGTTGTGAATTATCAATTACCAGCAAATTGGAACACATAAATCTTAGTCATAAATATTTTGTGTATTTTTTCTAATCAACTTCTGAGAAGATAAATTTACTAATTAGAGAGTTTTTGTCAAACCACCATTATGTTCTAAACCTATTGTTGCTTGCCCCTAAAATCTAATGAACTTGTAATTTTAATGCAGGTGATACACAAATCATAATAAATAATGATTCACTTAATAAGATTCTCTTTTTTAACCAGTGAGTGCAAGTCAGTAAAAAATGTATTATTATGTACAGCAAAAAATTATTTAACTTGACCCTGTGATCTGTAGTTGATTTGTACATTTATAGAGAACTCGCTGTCAAATTCTAAAAAGAGAGCACATTCATTATGTTGGAAAGCTAACAATTATGGGTCTGCTTCAAAAGTGCATGGCTTTCAGAATGGATTTTGTCTATACATTTTCCAGGGCTGTTAAATTAGTCTGGTTTGTCAACCACTAGATATTTCCTGGATGTGGATCCCTGTAATGTATGCTGGAGTTGATTTCAGGTTTTTCAGTATCTTTGTGGTCTGTGTGTATGTGTATATGTGTGTGTATGTGCAGCAGCAGGGGGCAGGTCAAAGCAATGACTCATAGGAAAGCTAGAAATTACAGAGCTCAGCAGTTACCGACGACTATCAGCAGTATTAGAACTCTGTGTGCTTGTGTGTTGCTTTCAGGTCGAGAATGACAAATGAATACAGAGAGTTGTGTTTTTATGTTTTGTTTTTCCTTTATTTTTTATTTCTTTGTGCTCAGAGTATTTGTGCAAGAATGTGATCAAATTGGTATTTGTTCCTCTGTATGCATTGTGGTAAGATTGCTTGATTATCTTACACTGGAGAGTCTCCACTTGAGTCTCCAAAAATCTCAGAAGAGCCCTTCTATTCCCTCCTCACTACACTCAAGGTTTCACATCAGAAAATTAGAGTGATTGCTGATTCTCCTGTGCTCTCACCAGCCTTTTGTGAAGACAGGTCAGGGAATTGCACGGATTTGGCATTTTCTTTGATAAGTGTGAGAGTAATCCTTAGGCTTGTCAGCGAAGGAGCAAAATGACACCCAGTTGACCTCACTCTGCAACAATGTGGCTTCCTTGTTAGTAAATCTTAAAGTGCTTGCTGATGAGACCCTTGTCTGCAACTCTTGGATCTGACAGCCTCTTACTTAGCCTTGTCAGCAGCAGTATTGGGAAGACAAAGGGAGTATGTCAGACTGAACAGTTGTTTTTGTGTGACAATCCTCGTTTCACAGCGTTATGACCTCATTTCAGTAGCACCCAAGAAACATCATGACATCATTGTTTCAACTTATCCCTCACCCACCCTTCCAAATTTTCTATAAAGGAAAATTATCCATTGAGCTTCACTGTGTGTGTTTTATTTGGGGGGTAGTAATTTTCCCATCAGTTACAATTATCTGAAAATAATAATCTTCTACTAGGGACAAGCTTGGACTATAAAATGAGCAGGCTAAGAAACCGGCAGTGACGTCTGTTGTGGTATCTCGAGCCGCTCGGTGTCTGACTGAGACCCTTTGCTTGACATCGCTTTAAAGCTGTTTCACTCGTGAGAGTCTGGTTTATCTGAGTCCCCTGTTAGCCTTGTGTTTGCAGTGTCACGGTACATTTCCATAACAAAAACCACCAAGTAAGGACGGCCACATTATGTCAAGGAGTCACAGCCTCCAGAAAACTGTATGTCTGAATACATATAAGTGTGTAGTCACCTAACCTTAACATAAGAAGGCATTGTTATATATACAGTAGGTTGAGACAACTGGATTGTCAGGACAGATCAGTTTCTATGGTGAATAAATCAGTGTGTGTCCTGTACCACCTCAGCTGTTTCAGACATACAACTGTGACATGAGAGGTTACTTTGTGAAATAAAATCCTCCTGCACTTTTGAGTTTGACCTCAGGAAAAGTGCCCACTGGCAACGCCGAAGGTTCAGCTCTTCAGACTGTCGGCTCAGCCACTTCACCACATTACTGCAGACACAAACACAAACTTTTAGCATGACACCATGATTCTGTAAATAAGTTGGATTGAGAAACCTTTCTTCTTGCATGTTTTTAGTTGTGCGGACAATTTTTTGTTGATGTCGTTGATAAGGGCAGTGGAACCTGGCTTTGAGTGCAACATCATGGAAGAATTGGTATATCTTCACAATACAACGACAAAATAAACAGTTTTTGGGGAAGTCCAAGTGGTTGGCACCACCTCCACTCTCCAGGAATATTGTGGGCAGTCATGCTTGGACTCATACCAGAAACCAGAAACAAACAGACAGTCTGTGTCCAGACGGTGTTGAGTGCTCAGTTCAGCCATATGACTCAGAGGAAATGCTTGCCCCTCTAGAGATGTTATTTCAGATGCAACATGCATCATGTCCGTGTTCTTCACTCTGAGTTTTAGCCTCTCTACAGCAGATGTTACATGGTCATCCGGTCACACTTGATAGATATAAACCATCGACACATGTTTTTTCTTCTACTTAATAGTCCATTTGAAAGCTGCTTACTGACAAAACAGAGGTGAGCTGATGAATAATTTGTATTTTACAAACTTGAATCAACATTTGGTTGATGAGCGATTGCTGATGTCACAACCACAGTCTCCAGAAAATGGCAGCAGACATCTTTTTTTATTTTAACAATTGAATTGCTTTAGTTTTCTCTGATTTATCATAACACTGATTTTAGTGGTTAAATATTGCTGTAATTCATTATAATGCAGTACTTGAAGTGAGAGTTGAAGGAGTTAGAATCAGAGGAGTCACATAGCTTTCATTCCTTGTGCCTAACAGAGAGTATGTGTTATTATATTATAGAGGAATCAACTGTTTTAATAACTATAGGATTTAGATATTGGAAGCAACTTTTAGTCCAGGTCAACCATAAATTCTGTCCTTCTCAATTTTAACATTTATTAATAAGACCAAAGCTAGTAAATTCTATAATGGTAACCCACTTCTTCTGCTTTGTCTTGATGAATGTCGATGTTAACGATGCGATTTTTACCAAACTTCAATTTCAACTATGTTTACCAAATATACAAGGTGTGGTATTATTCTATGGCTTAACTGTGGCCTGTGGAATGACAGGTGCAGATGCTGGTCTTGTGTAAACAGCAACAGCCAGGGATTAAACTGTGAGAGTAGTGTGATGTGAATAGGTCAATCGCAGAATATGTTGTCATTATACCATGTCAAACACAAGTTGCACCTACCTCTCACTCTTCCTCTATCTCTCTCTGAAACACACACACACTATACACAGACAAATACGCTGTGTTCACCCTATTGTATGATCTTATCAGAACCAGACAGTACTAAATACTATGTGAATGCATGGAAATCCATTTCTCACTGAAGTGAGAAATGGTCCATCGTCAGTGAGGTAGTGCATTAAGCTGCAGTTCCTCTAATGACAACTGGAAACTGATTGCATCTACCTCATTCCTTGCCCCACCCTTTAGCCAAATCTGGAGTTTTCAGCATGAGTAATGGCCAAGAAATGGAAGCGAGTAGCAATGGTGGAAGCAAGTACATTGTACTATACTGTACAAGTACTGTACAATGTTGTACTTTTTGTCAGTTTCATGAGTGCCAGTCAGTTTTTCTTTTGATGAAGCTTTATTACTTGCTTTGTGCTTGCGTACTTTTGTGCTTTGTGCTGTTTTATCTTTAATCATTCACTTTATATCTCTCCACAAAGCTCACAAGTTATGGAATGACAAAGACAAGGAACAGTCTTCAGTTGTAAATTCTAGAGACTTTGCTTTATCCAGTTGCCTGGGCAGAGGCACAGCCTTAAAGGC